TTGTTTCTGTTTCTTTTAATGCATCTTTGTTCTTTTTCGTTAATTTTCAGTTGATGCACAGTCGGAAAGACAAACATCAATTTATTCACCTCCATTTTATTCCTCTCCCAATGGTTATAAAATGAGAGCTCGTCTTTATTTAAATGGTGATGGAAATGCTCGTCGTACACACATGTCACTCTTTTTTGTACTCATGCGAGGTTTGAACGATCCAATTCTCAAATTTCCATTCAACTATACAGTCACATTTTGTTTGTACGATCAAACGTCTACACAACGACATATTATCGATTCATTTCGACCAGACATTAAATCGAGTAGTTTTCAGCGACCTCGGTCGGATGTGAATATAGCCAGTGGTATACCAAAATTTTTTCCGTTAGAAATAATTCAACAGGAAGGAAATCCTTATGTACGAGACGATACAACGTTTATCAAAGTTATGGTGGATTCTAGAGAAACAGACAAAACATTATTACCCTATGTTTTAGGCCTCAATCCGGGCCTACCAACGCATGTTCAACAAATAATGATTAAGAAAGAAGCTGATCGAAGAACACAATTACGATCAGATGAACAATCGCAAATATTTCAGCAATGAGGTACCGCTTAGTTTATATCAATAACCAAGAGTGGCTTGTTTTAAATCTATATCAAATTTTTAAGTTTCAAATATTTATCAGATCTTACTTGGAGCTTTTTCTATTTTTTTATAATCATGCAAAGCTGACTGATCTTCTTTATAAGGTGAAGTTATTTCGTTCTTTGATAACAGAAAATTGTACTAAAAAGATTTTTTTTTAAATCACTATTCCAATAGTTTTTCGAGAATATTCGAAAGATTAATAAATGGATATTATTTATTCTATTTTATTTGAGAAAAATAATTGACTATAGAACGAAATGTCTATAATTCTTTTTTAACAATGATTCAACGTCTATTTAGACTTATCCGAAATTTTTTTCAACTTACAAAAAACGAATTATACACTCACATCATTCGCCCACATTTGCCTTTGATAAATAAAGCATAGGTAATCCTTTTTCATCGACAATTATAATGATATCAAAAGAAACTTATAGTTGAACATTCTTCTCACAAGTTTTTTCTTTTCAGTACGTACCAGACCTCGAAACGAGATGCCTGGTCAAACCTTCTTAACCTTTTTTTTAAAGTAGGAAAATTAGGAGATGGACCTCCTAATTGTAGTTATCAAAATTGTGTTTCTTCTTATTCACAGACTATTTTCGACTGCGTACTACCTTGCTGGAACATCTAAATTGAAAAAACAAGTTTGCATTCAGAATTACGGTATGATTCTCACGAAGTTTACGTTAGTAAAAAAAATGTTGTGCCCTAAGATATCAGGTTGTGTATGATGATCATTATTTGGATGTAGGTGCAGATGTGGGTGTGCAATTTTGGGAATGGATATCAGTTTTGAGCTGATATTTTAACCAAAAGTAGGGTTGTATGAGATAGAACGAATACAAAAGGACTTATGTTAAGATCTTATTCTAATCAAGCTGTTCCTGTTGTATAGAGTTTTCGACTTCACAAAACGTCGAATGCATGAATTTTTAGTGAAGCTTTTTCTTGTGTAAAACTGTAACAACTCGATTTGTATGGTATATCAAGAAAGATCTTTCCATACCGTTCTAGACACATATAATCTTAGTCATCGGCAAAAGATAAGCTCCAAATCTTTATTCAATAGACGAGATGTCCCGTATCAAAATTATGATAGCTAGAAAGAAAACAAAGTTTTTGTATTTCAGTCGAAGATGACACAATTGAGCAAGAATTGTGAACTTTGTTCGCATGAATAAAAGCTTGACAATAATACCTATCATATAAAAAGAGAATAATCAATTTAATTTTATAAATAGGGATGCTGCGTCAAATTATTTCACACGGCCAATTTTTTTTGGGTGTGGGGTGTGGATGTCGATGTGGCGTGGATGTGGGTGCGGATGTATTTACTTCATCCCCAGCCACATCCACAGCCTTAATATCGATTCAAATTCTTAGTTGGTTAAAAATTTAATAGTTTTCGATCAAAGACATAAAACATGTGTTTCTTCTTCTATTTTTCTGTTTTGCCTAGTAATATTTTATTTTCATCTAATATTGCATTCAAAGAAGAAGAATACAGAAAAAAATATAAGACGAAAAAAATGCATTCTAATAAAAAAAATAATTATTTATTTAATTCATTAATTAGTCATATTGATTAAAAAGGCAAAAAATAAAAGAATTGAAGAAATGTAACTGAAATCGCTGAATCCAGAATGCTTCAAGTGCTTGAAATAAAATCTTAATATACAACACGAATGTCGAGAAATAAAACCAAGTCATTGAATAAAAACAATAAACAATATGATAAGAGTTCAATTAACGAAGTTCGAAAAATGCGTGTTGTTTACATTTGAAGATCATATTTTAGTGAATAAAATTTTGTTTTCATTTCAAAATTGACATATATTTGATATTCCTATTTTACCTATAATTTAACTTAAATTGAAAAAAAAAAATAACTTTTATCATTCAAATGCAAAACTCCAATCATTCATTATCTTCACTATCTATCTCTCTCTTTTTCAGTAGTTTTCAGTTGAAAATCTATGAAACAGCGAAGAAATGATGTGCATCTACAAAGCTCTCCTTTTTGTTTTTTATTGTAAAATAGTTTGGAAGATAAAAGACATTGCTGTCAATGACAATGAAACTTTTTTTTCAAAAACGTCAATATTTCCATAAGCAAAGGGTATTACTTTTTATTACTGCCTACAAGCTATATTTATGTAAGTTTAAATGACATTATGAGCAATGTTTGAGTGTTTCAGTTTTAAGAGTTCTTCACAGAAAAACTGATCTTGGTACCAATCCGAATGTAAAGCCGCGTTCGATTTTGTATTCACAATTCTTCGAAATTTGAATTCGGACAGGTCTCTACAATAATGTGAAATGATGTTTTATGAAAATTTCGATTGATAACTTTCAAAGTTATAGAATTATGACTAGACTGAAGTTTTACACAATATATATGTTGTTCTTAATGTAATACGTAGCACAATGTGAAAATTAAATTTAAATCTTGCTAAAATCAATTGAAAGTAAATTTTGTTAATTAAATTGACTGTCATGGAGAAAACTTGATTTTAATCCATTAAACAATGAATTCAATTTTAACTTCAGAAGAATATGCTCAAAATTAATCTTTACAAAAAATTCATTCGGATAAAAACTGATCACGATAGGAAATTCCCATGTATCATAGTGCTAACCATTGTAACAAACATTTCAGGCTTCAAAAAAAAAATACACAACCAATCAGAGAGCAATCCTAAGTTCACAAATAAATAGGATTAGGAAATACTCGAATCCACTGTTAACTTTGGTTACATAGTAGTTCTACTCAAAAAAGAAATTTGATCGATTGTGTAATGACATTCATTTAATATATCAAACAATATTAAATAAGTTTAAAAATATAATTGAATGAGTTATAATGCACTATTGAGAATATGAAGACTATGAGAATAAATATTCTCTTTGATATGAAGTAAAAAATAAAATTGATAATAGAGAGACTTTTAATTTTTGTCGGATAGATCTAATGATTGACTTTGTGATTCTGTTGTTGTAGTTGCTGAACTTTCTTCATGATCATATTTAGTTTCGATTCTCATTTTACGAAAAGTTTCATCAATGAGAGCTATTTGTCCGTTCTTTTTAGCTGCTCGTTTAGCAATACGTGATGTGTCTAGTTCAAATATTTCAATATCTAGATCATCATCAGTTCGATGTTGTGAATCGATAGCAGATGCAACTAGAATAAAAATTGATTCATGAACTACTTTTCTATTGTACATCTATCAACACCATCACTCACCTGCAGCCTATAAAATATAATTAAATTGGAATAAATATTAAACTTAAAACTTACTTGTAATTGTTCCCGAGTTTCGACATCTTGAAGTGAACTCATATCGATTGATCTTTCGGAAGTCAATTCAGTCAACCATGAACTTGTAAGAATTTCATCGATTGTTATTCGATTTGCTGGATTAACAATGAGCATTCGTTGAATAATCGATTTTGCTTCTTGTGAAATATTTTTCCATTCGACATCAGGAAATTGAAAATCACCTGTTCTAATTCTATTCTTCATACCATAACTTGAGTTTTCTCCATTTCTGGGAAAGAAAGGTGGATAACCACATAGAAGAATGTACATAATAACACCCATAGACCAAATATCACAAGCCTATTATACAATAAAATAAAATAAAAAGAATCATGTTTGAACTCAATAATGTACAAGTCATATTTTCAAAATTGACTTTCTCTTTTCTAAACTATCACAATAAAATATGATTAGCATATTACTTTATCATATCTTTCATTAGAAAGAATTTCTGGAGCAACATAAAGTGGTGTAAATCTAAACGAGAAAATCTAGTTAAAATTTTCAATATTATTCATTTATTTCTATACAATGGAGTTTTCAATGGCAATGGTTCATTATTTCCTTCAAAAAAAAATATATAATGAATAAAATGTAGTTTATTCCTTATTATTATTTTACCTTCTTTAGCAAATCCAAAATCGATAAGTTTGAGAATAGCATCGTCTGTCTCATTTGTTAAGAGTAGATTTTCTGCTTTTAAATCACCTATGATCATAAATTTAATAGTTAATCATTATTGTATTCTAGTTTTCTATTGTAAAACTACGTACGATGAGCCTATATAACCAATAGTAGGAACGACAAATATATATATATATATACAAAATAGAAAGAATTCTCGAAAAGTCTTACAATATCCATTATATGTAAATGATAAACAGCTTGAACAAGCATCCAAATATATCTAGCAGCATCACGTTCAGTATATGGTCTATTGTTTCGTTGTTGAATACGAGTGAATAATTCACCACCTTCCATACTAGAATAAATGTACATCAACAAATATATTTCAATGTATAGATCGACAAAAAATTAATTGCACCATTCTGTTACAATCAATAAACATCGCTTGGATCGAAACATATTTTCCTATAATAAGTCAAAAGAGAAAATTCATAATAGAATAATAGAAAAGAAGAAAATTAATGAAACTTGACAACAATATTCTTACATAAACATCCAATATTTTCACAATGTATTGACAATTTTCGCATGCTTTTTTATGCAAGATAATTTCTTGTCGAGCTCGAGTTGAATCTTCCAAAATCTATCAAATTTTTAAATATAAATTACTTGATATATTTGTTAAAACAAATTGAAGAGATATACTTTAAGAGCACATTTTTGTCCTGTTCGATGATGTTGACATTTGTACACTTTACCATTGACACCACGACCTAATACTTCTGGTAATATCTCGTAATCATCTGTGAAGTCATTTCGATGTGTTGGAAATGGAAATGAACTATATTTGTTTGAATTATTTAATCGATTACAATAGATTTATTTTTCAAAAGAACAAATCAAACGAATAAAAATTTATACAGACAGAAAGACTGACATTTACTGACATTATCCAACCTGTGATGTAAATCTTTATCGATAAAACATCATGGAAATTTGTTAAAAACCTTATTCTTTTTATGTTAAATGGTTTTCCTGTTTAATAAAGACTCTCAAAACAATCATGTTTTTTTTGTACAGTTAGGTATCGTTGACTTAATGAGTAATTCGCAAAAATATATGATTAAATCTATTCGTTTACCCATACAAAAGATAGAGGTTTTTAGTCATTATGACTTGGAATCATAGGTTTCATATAATGAAAAATAGTATTAAATGAATTTTTCGATAGCAGAAAATACTTTGTGTAAAAGAATTTATAAATTGATTTGCCTACTTGAGAGTTGTTGCTTTTCGATTATTGACCATCGTTATTGATATAAATTATCCACAGTTAAATAAAGAATTGATAATTCTGAATAATAATACAAAAATAGTATGTTTTATGTGTATGAGATAAACTTTGGAACTATTTATTCAACTCGTGCATGTGAAATTACAAGAAATTGTGTAAGAAAAGTAGTCAAGGAAAGAAAATTCTATTGCATCGACCTAGGGAGCAGCATACGCAAGACGCTTGCAAAGCATAATGTATAACTAAATCAGGAGCGACAACAGTAATGAAGAAATATATAAGAACGAGCAAAAAAAAACATAACAAAATTGGTAGTAGAATATAACGATGAATTTTTTTGCTTAGTATGTGCTATGCTAATTTTAGGCATTATTTCAGTTGGCTGCAAGGTCGTACAATAATTATTGATATTCATTAGAATAAATGTGAATAAGATGCTGATTTGGTATAGAAAATATGGTTGTCACGATTATGAATCAAAACATATAGTCGAAAGTCAAAGTAATATGTATGCAATCAATGGTTTGTTTGCTTACCTGGTTTTATTACAAAGGTGAAGTTAAAAAAACCAAAAAAAAATCAGCAATGTGTGCCGGTATAGGTGATGATGTGGAAAGAGTATGAATGTTTGTGTATGTTGTGAGTACATGTCTTGAGTACGTCGAAGAAAAAGAGAAGCCAGGATAAATTTCTAGAAGTATTTTATCTGACAAGTTGCTATTTTATGTATTTATACTTCGCACTTGATATTAATTATCTGTAAGTAACCAGATTCTGTTGTTCATAAAACTTTTGTAAAATAGTGTTTTTTTGCAGATATTTTGACAAAGTTCCGTAGCTTCCTGCAATTCACGTTGAAAACTGATGTTTGAGTTTGGACGTGAGACTTTTTACAAATAATATTCTCAACGGGAATAGTTCATTCTGAACGTTTCAGCTTTTTTCGTTGATGAAATATGAAGATAAGTACAAAGTTCAGCACCAAACATTCATCAAATGATCATATTCTAGATATAATAAAATAAATGCGGAAACTTCGGATTTAAATCCGAGAGTTATGTGTACTTCAAAAAGTGAATCATACAAATCAATCATCCAAGACTGTCTGAATATCAAAATTATACTGTGAAATCTACCATTTAAAATGTTGATTTCTATTGCGCGTTGCCAAACCAATAGGACATGGGCCGAATACAGCTCAAGTTTGAACTCTTTCCCTTGATTTACCCTAAGAAAGTCGTTTTTCCTATAACTTCATTTCTATTGGTCACTGCGCAACTAATAGTATTTCGATGGAAGTGCAGTACACATTCGAGTTCTCCATATCTGAAAACCTCGAAGTATCATCAGTGTGACCGGAAGATAAAGCTCTATTTGTGGATCAATTAGATCGTGGACCAAAATATAACCTAGTTCTCTTTAATTGTTCTTGTCATTGGTAAGTCAACCTTCTTGTTTTTTTATGTTTTATATATCATTTCGTAGTTCTTGAAATTCTCTATCGAATGGTATATAATAGTTGGGGTTTTAATTGACTATGATAGGAAAAGTCTTTTACGAAAGTCGCGATGGGTCCATTTTTCCACAGAAAGCTATAGGGAAAAATGGGTATTTTTGCAATAACTCAGGAACAGCTCGGCCGATCCTTCTCATCTTCGAACTCGACCGAGACATTGTCAAGACTAAGCTGTGTGGAAAATTTCATCGCAATCGGACTCTCCTTTCGAAAGTTATCGTGTTAACGGCCGGACGGCTGGACGGACGGACACACAGACCGATTTTAGTAGTGTACTCACTTTTTGAGTACACTAAAAATGATTTAGTACTTGGAGAGGCCAAATAAACAAAAATAGAGAGTTGAAAGCAGTTCTTTGAGTTGTTGCTACTACCAAACCAATATTTTGTATACATGTAATTGACACTTAATATTGATTACCTATGCTTAGTTGGTCTTCATTACTCAAACAATATCTATAGAATGAAGTTTTCATTTTTTTCAAAAACTGCTAATTCAAACAATGAAAAAACCGTAGTCCAATTATACTATTTTTAATAATGATGAAATAACAATTTTTTTATATTCTTGATATAGTCTCTTAACTATTCATTAAACAGATTTTGTCATAGTCTATTCATCTTTCAAGCTTCTAAATAAGATTATTATCAATACTTTGTGTCTAAATTTTGAGTTCTTGTAAACATAGTTTATCACATCAATAAACACATTTGTTATACATATTATATGAAATTTGCTAATCGAATAGAGTATCAGTCCAAAGACGCAGCCAGAACTAAAGCCGCAACAAAAATCGCACTCGCATCGGTATCCGCATTGATTCCCACATCGACAATACTTACTCACACGTTTTGTTTCAAATTGAATAACCACATGTGTAGATCTTTTAAATATATTATTCATCGAATCGATAGCTTGAAATCATTTCTAATTAATTATTTTTGAACTTGTGAATTTGAACAAATTGCCTATACCTATAATTTTAATTTATTCAATTTTTCACCTTTATTCTCAGATTATTAGTTGATTGAATATTTGGTATTTCGAAATCGAAAATTTGATCTTCAGTCCGCTGAATGTTTCTTTTTCAATTTGAGATTGTTTAACAAGTTTACCTTTTTCTTTTTGAAATCTATCAAACAAACTGTCAAAATGAATATTCAAATGGATTGAAAAATTTTATCTAATCAAATCAATGGTTCACACATATATACATTTCAAAAGTTTATGGGTCAAACATTGTTTCTATTGTTCGAATTTTAATACTGAATTATCTTGAGAATGTGAGTGTTGGAATAGGTGGAGGGAAGAGTACTACACATACTCACATCCTCAAGGATATATTCTTTATTTCTAATTATGAAATGAAGCGAAGAAAAACAAAAAAAGAACCAATAAATTGATTTTTTCTCACGAGAAACAACAGTAGTGGGTATTAGAAGCTGATTCGGTTCGGATCACAAAAATTAGAGTCATGTTGAATAATTCTACGAGATGAAAAATGCTTACATATGTCTATTCATTACAATCGAATATATATTTATAATTCTAAATCAACAAATAGCAATTGAATATGTTGAAAACAAGATTTTTATTTTGATATATACATGATAAATTACTTGTTGTAATCGTGTTAGAAAATAATTCTTAATTTTTTTCTAAAACTGATTGATACATCATCTGTTAGATTTTATTCTTTATTTCAAAAAGCATTTGCTAAAATAAGATTAAAACAGGCAAAAGTAAATGTTTGACGACTATCAGTGATAAAATTTGTTGATTCAAATAGTTTTTTTAATATAAACTCAAAAATTTAATAGTCTATATGGATGAGGGTGTGGGTGTTAATGTTCATTTCACCGACACTCCAACCCACACCCTTATATCACGACTACTTTTCAATGCATTTGTCATGTATCGAACATATGAACCTAAATCACGTTTTTCTAGATTTCTTTTCAGGTTAGAAATTCTCTTTTTAACATAAGATCGCTATGCTGCTCTTATAGTTTTGTACGGGATACGATGAAGTCAACAGGAATTGGTCGTAAACTTTTACCGGAATATGCACCAAAACAAAAAAAAATAAGTAAAAAATTGATAACACAAATAGATAAATTATTTAAAAGGTGATTAAAATATAAAACTCTTTATTTTAAAAATAAATGAAGAAAAAAAAACAAAAGATATTCTATGCAATTAAAGATCATTCAAAGTTGTTTACGAATATCATCAAGTAATGTATCAAAATTTTTTGAATCTTTTTTAACCAAATCAATGAGTCGTTTACGGGCCTTTTGAACTACACCATGCCATAATGACAAAAAGCCGGCAAATCGTGTTTCAAGTATAATGATAATAATGATTGAAATTAATATTTGATTATCAATGTTTGGATTTGTTGATTGAAAAACTGAAAGAGATTTTCCTGTTAAGTTCTTAATAATATCGTCGTCTAAATTCCATAGACCATTAAACTTTTGTTTGTTGATCAAATAACGAACAATATCTTGATCAGTTGAGGGCCATACTTCATTGTTTTGACGGATGGTTCTGGACTCGTGTACAAAAACTTGATCGTCCATTTGGATAGGTCGCTTTTCTAATGATGAACGACTACTCTGCTTTCGTGCAGAGGCTGAATGAAGAGACAATTCCATCGTTGCAGGAAAATTAGAATTGGCTCCATCGAGATTTATCGTTTGCGACATCATCGGGCGTTTGTGCACAGTTGCCGTAGCTTCTCTGTCCCGAAAACCGCCACCAGCACCAAGTCCATAACTTGCACTATGACGAATTGCACCACCACCACCCAAGAAGTACAATCTTGATGGTGTAAATAAATGCTGATCATCAGCAGAAATTTCAATTGGTACTTCACGTAGCACCATGCCAGCATTGCTTGCATTTGTCCGCTTCTCTACACCGATAAATGCTGTATGTGGACTTAAGATATTGTATTTCAATGATAATTCAATGATACGTTGCTTGGCTGTCTGTTCATCGGAAACCACTTCCATTTTTTCTTCATCTGATGCTATTACATTTTGAAACCGTGCTTGTGTCGAACCTGTTTTCTCTTTTTTGGCAGTTGATGACGGAAGCTTAGCATGTTGTAATTCCAAAATAAGCGCTTTAGCCGCTAGACGTGCAATTGTTTCATTATCAGTCACGCTCGGTATTTGATTGACTTTTGCTACACCTAGTGAACGATGATTAGGTTCAATTTGAAGTTCTACAAAAGAATTGTGATCAAATGGAATTGTTTTATCATTCGTAAGAGCATAAACAATAAGACGATCATTGAGATAAACAGGAGGTGATTGTTTTGGAGCAGTTTGAACATCAACGCCAAGATTCCAATTGACATGAATATTAGTAATGCATGGTTGAAGAGCTCTCTGTAATTGTTCTCCTACATATATATCGACATTTGAATTTGGTGGAACGAAAACAAATCGACCATTGGTTGATCGAGCAAGACCTTTAACTAAAGAT